AAAAAAAAGTTTCCACAAAAATATGAAGCAGCACAACCGTTTTCAACATTGATAATAATCAGAAATGTTTCTGGAGCTGCAAATCAGCATATTAGAATGATTTCTGAAGATCATGTGACACTGAAGACTGGAGTAATGATGCTGAAAATTCAGCTTTGCATCACAGGAACAAAACTGTTTTCTATTTTAATACACACTACCAGTCAAAAGTTTTTGAACTAAGATTTTTAATGTGTTTTTTCAAAAGATTCAAAAGATTTCTATTTCAGATAAAAATGCTGTTCTTCTGAACTTTCTATTCATCAAAGAAAATACTACTCCTACTACTCCGCTGTTTTTAACAATTTTTTGAAACATTAATAAGCTTACTGTTCAAATTAAAAACCTTTGACTGGTAGCGTATTTTAAATAGGGTTGGGTACAGTTCACATTTTAACCGGTAAGGTACAGGTATCAGTACCTGAATTTCGGTGCCGGTACCCAACTGTACCTTTTTTCAGTACTTTGTGTAATTACAAAAACATTTCAGTGAAAAAATAAGTCCAAAAGTCTCAATTTCAACATTTTGAACGATAGGGCCCTACAAACTTTTTATTTCTTTATTTATTTTTTCCCCCCAGAAATTCTTGTTTTCATTTTTTTGAAAATCAAATGAAGGCATTAAACATCTATTTTAAATCAAATGAAAATTAAACCCTTTTATTTTTTGGCAAACAAACTGAGGTTTACTGTTGAAATTAATACATGGAAGAAAAATTGTGTGAATATTCCTTTAAAACATTTTTTTAATAGGCTAATAATTGTATTTTTTTCTACAAGTGATTAATCTGGTTGTAATATTTATTTTTATCATTTAATTGTTTTATTTAAATTTGATAAAAAATGTAATATTTAAAGATGTACATTATACTGTACAAAAGCAATACAAGAGTAATATATTTCTGTTACATTGTTAAACCGTACTTTTATTTTGACCGGTTGCCATGAAGTTTCTGTGTGTATACAGTATGATGATGCTAGTTTTCTCAAATGAAACGGTAAAATTCTCGTGAAGTGACTCTCACAGCAGCTCTGGAGATTAAGTTGTGTTCATGCCGTCATAAAGTGAGACGCAGAGGCCGAAAATCACCGCGAGCGTCACGTGTGCTTCAGTAGTAAACAAAACAGCGTTTCCGCCATTCATACATACAGAGGCAAGCGGAACATGCAGTATTCATATTTAAACCGTCTTTTTGCATTTTAATATTCACAGACACTTATATCGCGATTCGAATTAAGTGGCAGTGGCTACTTTTGATTTATTCGTCCAAAATTGACGAATTCCGTGGCATTCCGCGCTATAGAGTAAATTACGTTTTTATGAATGAACTCCACAATCCCGTCAGAGTTTTCGCAGAAACCATATGGCCCTAGAAATGTAACCACACTTCAGAACATTTTGGCTTGCCCTGTGATTTGTTTGAACGAGTTGCAGGGGTGACCTCACGTCACAGGGTCTCTCTTTCTCTCTCTGTAGCGTATGCGCCCAGATGCGTTCTCAGGTACCGAAATTTGGCACCGATTGATTTAACGTGAATCGGTACACTGTAGTACCGACGCAATTCGGTCGGTACCCTTAAAAGTACAGAGTTCGGTACCCAACCCTAATTTTAAATTGCAGTTATTTAACATTGCAATAATATTCCACAGTATTACTGTTTTTACTGTATTTTTAAATAAATGCAGCCTAAATGAGCAGAAGAGACTTTTCAAAAACATGAAAAAAAATCTCTGATTTAGTATCTAAAGTATCAAAGTAATGTCTTTGAATTTTCTTCATTTGGCAGGGTTTTCTCACAAAAAAAATGTAATTAATTTGAAATGATTATTCAGCATATCATAGAATTCATTTGATTAATGTAGAGATTTTGGTCATAGAGCGCAACACTAATAAATAATAATAATTACAGATTTTATTTTTGTCCTCATTGCACCTCAAACATGTTTTTATGTAGATAACAACACTGGCCAATACTAATGAAGTACTTATTAACAGCACTGATGACGCCTGTAGAAACTTGAGAATCAAACCCATGAACTTTGCCTACAACCATTAGCGTCGCTATATAATACACTCTCTGATTCCAAAATATCAAAAATACAGCAGTGTGCTGTCAGAACCCTTCCTCTCCAGTGTGTGCGCCATGCTAAAGGTAGACTGAAAGGTCATTGCTTGACAGACACAGGAGTTGCAATCACGACCTGTCCAGTGTTTCCCAGAAGCGGAGGAAGACAGGCCGGTCCAGGTGTCGTTTGTGGTGGCTCAGCTCCAGCACAGTCACGTCCCACTTCTGTACATTTGGGTCCATCCGTGCCTCATCGTACTTCAGGTGAAAGGCTCGGACTAAAATGAACATCAGCATGACATAAAACACTCTTTCCTGTACGTAATCAATGCGGTGTATAGTAAATAATGTGCTGCATCTCCCCTGACTAAACTCACTTTTGGCAAATATATCCACGGGGGATCCATCAGGCAGCAGCCACGGCCAGCCCTTGAACTGCCAGGCAGGACCCTGGACAAACACGGCCACTACACGATCCCTGTGAACAAACAACAACATCAGTCATTTATGAGGTTGCTAATTTCGGTTTTGGCTGAAATGGTTTTAGAGGGGTGAAAGCATTGACAAAACAGTGGCATTTAATTAGCGTTTCTCAGATGGGATGTTTTGACAGGAAGCATATATTTCGGGAAAACAACAACAGGTAAACAAGTCTGCTGTGTGGATGCTATGGCTAATTTGACAACATTGATTTCTCAACTTTACTTGATCTTAATTTAGATGAACCAATATTGATTCTTAAAATCACAATATCAATCTTTTAGTCTATAGTTTTCAGTCAAGTGATTAAAAACATTATTAAGCATTATTCGTAGCGCACCTACCATCAAATAATTGCATTAAGCGTTGTGTCTTATGTTATAGAAGTGTTTTAACCGCAAAGAGACTACGATTTAACTTTAGAGCACTTCGCTAATAATATGCAGTTTATTACATATTCATTATATTTTTACTTAACCTGTTAGGGATGTCTTCATAATTTAAAGTATGTCTGAATAGATCGGTCATGAAAAGTTATTACAGCCACAGCTTAAATGTTTACATAAACCACAACCAAGTGGAGTAAAAAAAAAAAATATTAAAAAGTGTATACAAAGACTGACTTAATGTGCAATTTAAATGTTTGTATACAACTCCGCTTTATTTGAGTGTTGATTATATTTTAAAAAATGCTTAATTGATTATTAAATTAAATATTTTATTGTTTTTGGTAAAAAAAATAAAAAATCGTTTTGTTGAATCACTACTCAATAGGTTTAGGAATGGATCTATTATTAACAATGTCCAAAAATGAACCAGGCAAATCCTGTTGATATAACAGTGCGTTTAAAATTATAATCACTGCTTCCAGATACTGTAATAGATGAGCTCACCAGTCCTGTGGGGCGAGTTTGAGCGGCTGGTCGATCACTCTGTAGGGTACTGTGACGCTGATTGTGGCACCGCCTGGCTGAACCTGATCTTTACGTCTCTGCAGCAGAACCTCGTTGTCCCTCTGAATGCCCTGCTTCTTCTTATCCTCTGACGTGACAAACCTGCCAAGAAAAAACAATTAACAGCGAGATAAAATACACTTTATATACATTAGTAATTGCATTCATTATTGAACGTCAACTGAACAGTTCTTCAGACATTGTCTAACACACAACTGCATGCACAGAGTATAAACCAATCAATAACCTCAGAAGGTACGTGCACAGGCCTGAGAAGAGCTTAAACTTTACATGTTCTTTCCCAAATTATGTCAGTAATCTCGTTATGATTATTAGTTGAAACGGCAAGAATCAGGAGTCTTCTGGTCCTAAATTGTCCTTATTAAATGTTAAAACCCAACCTACGCCTTGTAAATACTTTGTCACAGTGAATTCACAACCATAATTAAAACTAGAACACTGGAAATATATTTCACATCCGTATACGGGCAATGTCAATTATAAATCATCAACACTTATAGAGAATCATGGGTACTAAACAGCCAGTTCATGAGCAATATACCTGCACAACAAATGAAATGCAAATAAAACAAGATGACTTTCTTCGAGAGCAGACAAGAACTCATTACACAGGTCCCCAAGTCCTTTCCATTTTAACTTCTGTTCCAGAGTAGCACAAGCCAAAGAGCAGTCGAATCCGTTTTTATTTAAAGGGAAGGGGGACTACTTTGGATGGAGAAAGTTACAAGACAATCTGTTGTCAATGACTCGACAGGGTAAAAAAATTAAATAAAAAGGTGACAATTTCCTGAATATAATAACTAGACAAATACATATTCATAAAATGTATTAAAATGCCAAGATTGTAATAATTTACATTACTTTTACTTAAAATTAGGCTTCCTCATATATCCAGTGGGTTCTTCAAAGAGAGAGAGGAAAAAAAAAAAAAAACTTGAGGGGGTGAATTAAATTAAAATTATCTTGATATTTAATTCTACTTCATTCGTCTCAGACCACGTTCCCATTGTTAGTTTTAGAACTTTTTAGAACTGTAGAATTTAACACTAACATTTACGGCCGTCTTGATTTCTTTGCTTTTAAATGTTAAACCACTAGGAGACCTGAAAGCTTCTCTTTTGTTAAATTTATAAACGATTCTTATTACAAATTTGAGAAGATGGTTGGTGCATGCTTGGCCTAAACGCACAGCACTTACAGAGATTCATTTGGAGCAGGATTTACTGAGCCGTTAATAGCCGATTAATCTAACGATTTTCCCCAATAAATATATTAACTTCTGTCATTAATTTTTAAAAGTTTAAAACTTTATGGTGCCAAGAATGAAGGCAGCAACACAATGTCTGTATGTGTCGACATACCTTCCATGTTCATTCATGTTTACTTCATGCTGTAACTAGTAATAAAGAGGAGATGGAGAAGAGATGGTCGAGTGATCTGTCATCCCACATTAAAGAGCATCAAAATGCCATTTATTGTTTAAATGGACAATTTCAAAGCGGAGACTGATTCTTATAAAAAGTAACGAAGCTCAGTTGATTATTGGATGGAGAAGCACTACAAATAAAGTTTAGTGAAGTTGTTTGGTTTGGCTGGTGCAGCTGTATTTACATAACCTGCGTCGCAGACACTTGTCGATTTATGCTCTGGATTTTTTCATTATCGCTATAATGCCCTAACCAAGTGCATAACACTGTTTAAGCTCGCCTTCAGGAAATCAAGCTCACAAACGGACTATCATCTCACTTTTTCTGTTAATCACCATTTGTTGATTTTGTCAAAAAGCATTTCATCAAGCCAAGCCGTTGTTTTTACTCATCTAACTTCCTCATTCCGTTATAGTTCTGAAATAAGGAGGAGGAGGAAGATGAGTGAACATATTAGCTGCACCTGGCGCCCAAGAACCACTGGTTTGACTGGTCTAAGCTGGTTGACCTTAGGTCATGGTGACCTATCACTTCATGTTCTCATGTCAATTTGACTGAAAACACCTGTAATAATCCAACAAGAATGAGGGACGTTTGTTGTTTGATAAAAATCAATTTTAGAAATTAATTTAATAGATGTTTGAATTTAGTAATAACTTTACGTTGAATCATCTAATCAGCACTTACTTGAGGTCCTGTAAGAGATCCTTAGCGTTGAGCATTGTGATTAAAGATGTTGTAGCTGCAGGGATGATGACAATTGGAGTTCTAGAACCTGTAAAAAAATTTGTTGTTAAAAATAAACTAGCTAACTGCAGTGATCTTGCAGTATGATAAATGAATAATAACGATACATGCATTTTAAATTCAGGTTTTTACTCAACACAGGATGATCAAGTCAACTCACTAAGTCTCGAAGCATTGTAAATAACTATAAATAAACTATATATCAATCGCATTTTTTTTCCCAGTAAGATGCAGTTAACCCTAACATTTTATTTTAAGATTTAACATTTGTAGATGGTCTAAAGCAAAATTGTTGTAAAAATTCTGAAAATCTTTTAGAGCTTATGATGTTTAAAAAATAAAACATATTACACATTAATACATCAGAATATTATGGCATTGTGAGAGGTAGGGTATCACCAAAGTGTGGGTTGCTTCACAAATTGAGTCCAGGCTGAGGTCAAGCTACAAGTTTCTCTCTTTTTTTTTTTTTATCAAATCCAAAAGCCAAAGGTTACAACATAGGAAGAACTCATCCAGCTTCTCTCCACACACACTCACAAGAAGAATCAAAGTCCCTTTTGTTCCCAGCTCATCACCAGCTTTTTTCCTTCACTCCTAACTCTCCCCCGCTGAGGAACTTGGTAACTGTAGTTCGGGACCAGGTGGCCATCTTGGTTTGTAGTCCCCATGCTGCAGCCAACTAGATGGCACGTACCTTCCCTATATGACACAGCCTCTCACGATGCCACAATATATAAAATTATTTAATTTACAAGTGTCATGTTTGTGATTTTTTTCATGTAAGCTATAGCTTCTGACCTTTAAATCAAAACATACTCATTATTTTATGACATCAATTACTGCTTTATTTAATCAGAAACAGTCTAAATGTTATTTGTGTAGGCGATTTTACTTTTAATTTAATTAGAAGTAGGCCAACAGCGCCCACTACAGATTAAAACTCCTTACAAAACGGGCGTTAGGACCTGGGGGAGGCTGCGCTGCTGCCACTGCACGTGCTATTACGGTTTACTCTATCATACACCGAACGCGTCATTCTGTACGTGCTTTCACAGATTTAATGCAGCGATCCAAAAGAGTGAATCTAATCACCATTCAGACAAATCTTGGCTTCAAGAATGAGCCACACTGCTGATGTGACCTAATCACTAGCACACCCTGAGCACATGCGAGTTAACGTATTCCTCTTATCTGCATAATTTTTCATATCGGAATAATTTTTCATATCGGGCCGATGCCGATATTTACATTTAAAGCCATTATCGGCCGATTCCAATATCAGTCCGATAATATCGTGCATCCTTAATATATATATTCTAGAGAAAGATGTATATTCACTTTACAGCTTTCCTGAATTCTGTCTCCATGTCCTCAAGTTTTTGTTTTTTTGCACTACATATTGGTATAAAAACCACATAATTTGATAGACATGTTTGTTCAAAACAGTATATTTCCCTTCCTCATCCATGTTGTTAAAGACGTACCTTTCTTTTGGTTAGGCGGGGGTCTTGCTTGAGAGCGGCCGATTCCAATATCAGTCCGATAATATCGTGCATCCTTAATATATATATTCTAGAGAAAGATGTATATTCACTTTACAGCTTTCCTGAATTCTGTCTCCATGTCCTCAAGTTTTTGTTTTTTTGCACTACATATTGGTATAAAAACCACATAATTTGATAGACATGTTTGTTCAAAACAGTATATTTCCCTTCCTCATCCATGTTGTTAAAGACGTACCTTTCTTTTGGTTAGGCGGGGGTCTTGCTTGAGACTAAAGACAAGACAAAAATAAATAAATAAATACATACATAAAAACAATAAATAAAATAAAAACACTCCAAATATGGACACATTGTTATTCTGGCCAGAAATAATTTGAAAAGAATATTAGAAATAATTTATGCACATGCTACCACTATGAAAATTTGTAGTCATTAGATAAACATGTTGAATATTTCATATGTGTATCTAAAATTATGCAGATGCTCAAAGAACACAAAAGATATTTTGAAAAATGTTGGAATCTGAACAGTTGATGAGCACCATTGACTTCCATTGTATTTTTTTTCCTACTATGGAAGTCAATGGTGCTCATCAACTGTTCAGATCCCAACATTTTTCAAAATATCTTCTTTTGTGTTCAACAGAAGAAAGAAACTCATACAGGTTTGGAAAAAGTGGGGGGTGAGTAAATGGTGACAGAATTTTCATTCTGAAAGTGAACTACTCCTTTAAGTGGTCAAGAAGAGGGTGAAGGTGAAGTGTGTCATTTCCAACGCCACTATTGTCAACAAATGGAATAAGATCTCTTGGTATCAAAGTAGAAGAAATTATTTTGAATTACAATACATAAGTGAAATACGTATAGGTTTTGTTCAGGAACATAAACCGTTCTCAGACTGGAAAAAAAAAACAAAAAAAAACTTCCATCTTGCTGCAGTTATGGCTGCAAAAATGTTTCCCGTTTTAAAAAGTAACAGAGAAATTAAATAACTGTCTATAAGTGATAACGTCACATTTGCAATATTTCAGCTGTATCACGTTACACAGAATATTTCTTTAAACTTCAAGGAGTTCATCCATACCTGGTCTGGGAACAGGCTGCAGAGCTGGTGTTTGGGCCTTTCTAGCAGATGCACCTTCCTACAGAGAAATAGAGAGAAATCAAGAGAAAATGCACATGAATTATGACAGTGAGTCAGACGCATTTCAATTAGTTCACAGCCCAATCAATCATTGAAGCAGTTTTCATTAGTTTCACACAAAGATACACTTATGTCTTCCTTCTTGTCACAGTGGCATGGATATCACCTGACACTATACTCTGGTCTTTTCCCACTGCATACACTGTATACACACATACATACATATATATAATAATAATACTACAACATAAAATAGCACAAAAGGCTGCAAATGCACAAGCTAATTTAACTGTTCTAGTCATCAAGGTGTAGCTCCGTTGTGGATATGCTCTTACCATAATAATAATAATAATAATAATAATAATACTTCGCACACTAAACACGGCTCACAAATATTACACAACATTATTTTACAGTAATGTTCTCATTCTGATTTTATGTAGCCTATATGACAGACTTACAGTTAAGTGCAACATACAGAGCATTTCCTTTTCGAAGTGATTCAAATCATATTTCAAGCAATTCAAAACCCACATGGCGAACAGTGCACATCTGAGTTGTCTCTGAAGGAAATAATGCATTATTTATCGGCTTTGAGAGAGATGCTAACGGTCTAATCAGATTCAATGATCTATGCTAAGCTACAGATAAAAGTGCTACCGCCAGACCCGGAGATGGCTGAATGGATTCGAAAATGGTAAAACTCAACTGTTTAACTCTAGGGGAGTTGGACATTTTATTTTTTTTTTCAAAAATAGTGGAGTGTTTCTTTAACATTTTGCCCAGATTTTTTTATCAGGTCAATAACGATAACAGCAAAAATGAACATTTATCAGCCGATACCGATATGGTGGCAGATATATTGTGCATCCCTATAATATACAAGTTAAAACATAATACAACTCTTGGTTTGGAAAACAAGATGGCAGCTAAGAGTAAATCAGACCACCTAGCTAAGTGCTAAGACATGCTAATAGCATGGTAACATCGTGCTAAATGACACGTTAACCATATTAGCATAAAGGTAAACATGTTAGCATCTTGTTAAAACATGATAGCATCATGATCGCAACATGCTAATCACGCTAACTTTATGTTAACAACATGCTAATCGTGTTATTATGTTGCTAGCATCATGCTAATCAAGTTATCTTGTTAAAAACACATTAGCATCATGCTAACAGCATGCTAATTTCATGTTAGGGTTAAGGTTGTGACAATGCTATCACAATTTGCAGGGGTTTTTTTACCCATGATGTTAACATGATTAGGGTTAGTATTGGTGCCTAGTGCCGAGTTTTGCCACGGTAAGTACCACTCACATTTTCTTCAGAAAATGTACATATCTAGTTTTTATCAGTGGTGCAAAGCATCAGTATCGTTCTCTTGCATACTTCTTCCACACCAGTGTTAATTTTGACAGCAAACTTTCATTTAGTCTTTTGACTAAAATGCCATTTAGTTTTAGTCATATTTTAGTCATCTGAATTGTTTTAGTTTTAGTCGACTAAATATCATGATGTTAGTCAACTAAATCTATGGTAGTTTTCAATGAAACACCAATGATCATAATATTCATTCTTTATAACAACTTACCACATTCTTCATTCATTCAAAGAGACAATTATTTACATAAATAAATTTAGATTAATCCTTATTAGGGTTATTAAAGGTGCAGTAGGAGATCTTGGAAAATGCTAACTTTAGCCTGATAGCACTGAAAGCAAACGTCACACCCTCCCTGCAGTCACTGTGTAGGGATCATATCGATCGGGGGGGGGGGACTGGAATTGGGAACCGCTGGGCTACATCATGTGTCATTCACCAGTGAGAAAACTTTAAAAGTACTACAATACCAGGAAGGAAGATCGGGTTGTTGATGTTTGTCTGCCATTCTCGCTCAGTCTGCACAGCTTGCGTGAACGCGCTGATGACGTATCCGATCTGCGCGAACTGGGTGCGCAGAGGTATGCCAATACATATGTTGACAGGCAGGTAGGAAAGCCAATTAAAACGCTCGGACCGAGTGTTTGATCGGACGAACATTTCTTGGTCCTACGCCTTCCACAGAATATATAAATACAGATAAATACATTTAGACCACTTAACTTAATGATTGCTATCGGGATGTGAAAAGACTTTCAACCAGCATAACAAAAATTTTTTTCTGAAGACAATCACCTATTGCACCTTTAAAGTAATTCAGTCAAGAGTAGTGAGTGATTGTCTCTCTTTCTTTTGTTGCTTGATTAACATTAATGACACAGAAAACAGCAACTAAATGAGGCTGCTGTCCCTTTAAAACCGAATGCACTGGTGCATTATACTGATACACATCCGATATTCTCCCAACTATTTACATTCACTTAAGACGTAACCGAATAGGTTTACGTGAATACTCGTCAGAACGGACAATTCAACAATTTTGTGTATTTCTCCGTTCATGCGACGTGAAAGAGAACTGAATTCAGTACTTGTGCGTTGTGTGAGAGGTGCTTTTCTGTGTGCATGATTCAGGTGTGCGCGCTCAGAAAACCGGACCGAATTCAGTTCTCTTTTATGTTGTCACACTTTTTCCTCATTTATCATATCTGTAGGGCTGTGTACTGGCAAGAATCTGGCGATACGATACGCATCACGATACAGGGGTTGCGATACATTGCGATACTGTAAGCAAGGTGATATATTGGGATATTTCTTATTTTAGTAATAGGATATATTTTTAGGAAAGCTGTCAAAGAACACACATCCATATGCAAACCTTAGCAATAAATAAATAAATAAATAAATAAAAATTATTTAACCAGAACACAGTGGGATCTGCATTTGCAATAATCAGTCCCTGTAACATTCAACATTATTGAACCACTTTTTGTGCAGTACGAGTCAAGGTGGAAAAATTAAAGGGCAGGTCATATGGTATTTTAAAGGTGTCCTAATATTGTGTCGGAGTCCCCTACAACAGGTTTAAATGCATCTAAGGTCAGAAAACATTGTAATTTTCTCAGAACATACATTTAATATTAGAGTCATTTGCCAATGATTTCGAAACGATTCATTCCAAGCAAGTTCGGAGCAAACCCCTCCCTTCCATAAGCCTACTCTGCTCTGATTGTTCAGCTGGCCAAGCCTGTTGTGACTGGCACACAGAGAAGTCCTTGAGCAAGTTAGCGAGCGCTAGCATTGACAAAGCACCTTTACATAGAACAAGGATAAACCTAGTGCTCCAATCCGTTCTTATAATAATGACATAATATACAAAAACACTTATGCAAGCGAATCGTGCCCACAGCTAAAGTTTAGCTGCTAAACTGTGAACACTTAAAACAATAATGGTGGATACGTTAGCCGAGTGCTAACGTGACTAACTGATGAAACAATACAGTTTGTAAACCAAAATATGTCTACTGTAATGTTTGAAGAACGACAGACAAAAGACGCTCTGTCTTAACTTTTAATCAGAACACAGAACAGCTGTATCACAAGCGCACCAGCCTAACTAATGGCGCTTTTCCACTGCGTCGTACGACTCGGCTCGGTACGGCTCAGTACGGCACGGCACGGCTCGGTTTGGCTCGGTTTGCGTTTCCACTGCAGTTTAGTA